AGAGCCCTCAAGTGTCCTCCATGGGCCAAGGCTGATGCTTGGTGAGTATCATGAACAGTTGCTTTGAGGAAGTTAGGCATCCTGGCAGGTGGATGGCAAACTAGCAACACTGGAACCAAATGAGGCGGGAGGTGGCCTACTGGGGACTTGCAGGCCCCACCTGCTGGCAGATACTGGCATAACGGGCCAGAACGTTGGCATTTTCCATGATGGCAAGGGCTGAGGGGGTGTGTTCCCCAATCTTCAGCACACAGCGCCATTTGGCAAAGTCGGCTCCATCCTTCTTGTACTGGGCACAGCGCTCAGATAGCCCATCCAGCCCTAAGACAAGACAGAGGAGTCAGAGCATGGTGGGGGAGGGGGAGAATGTGGCTCCCACTCACCCCTGGCACCCAAGAGGTGAGTTGCCTTGGGTTGGTAGGGGAGAGAGCCAAACGGTCTCACCTTGGGTGGTAGTCTCGCCATTTGTTCCTGCCAAGGGCACCACACCCTTGTCTACCTGTTGGGGGGGGCAAAAATATGAGACAGGAGAAATGACTTCTAGTGCCCTTTCCTCCTTTTTAGCCCCATGCTTCCCTCTACTTAATCACTCAAGCAGCATCTCAGGGTTTGCAGGTATTTTCGTTTAGTTACAGCATCCAATCCTATGAGGCAGGATACACTGGGTATTATTTGACACCACGAATGTTAACTGTCAGGAATGCTGGCTGTCAGGAGACCTGCACTCTGCCACTTACTAACTGTATGCAGAACACTTCTCCCTGAGCTGCTGGCTTTTCATCTGTAAAGTGAAATATGCTGCTCTTAGAATTGTGAGCATTAAAAATGCCAAGTAGGTACCATACGTCTAGGGCAGACTCCATCCAAGTCTTTAGGCTTCCAGTCCTATATTCACCCCCTGCCTCATTCATTACTCTGGGTTTCTTCCCCCCCAGATCCACCTCAGATCTCAATTCTGAGGCCCTGCCCCCTCACCTTAATGCCCACAACCCCACCCTTGGATTTGATAACTTGGGGGAAGGGACGCCCATCATCCGCCTTCTGGTAGAGTGTCTCATGGAAGAGGATGACACCCCCGATGCAGGGATTCACGCGGTCATCGGCTGTCAGCAGCAGCTGGCGGTAGAAGCGCCGGTTCTCCTCTGTGTTCTCAGTGCCGATGGACTGCAGCCGCTTGGCAATACTCCCTGAAGGGGAGCATCAGGGAATAAGGGGACCAGCTTGCTACTCCCAACCCTGGGCACTCCTCCCACTCTGTCTCCTGCCCATACCAGTGGACTCATCTGCAGCCAGGATGCCCTTTCCCGGAGCCACAATGCGGTGAGCGATGTCCGACAGCTCCTTCTTCTGCTCCGGGGTCAGTGCTGGATATGGGTAGGGCATGGTGCTGGTGATAGCAGGTTCCTGGGTAGAAGAGACAGATGGGGGAGGACTTGTAAACTGGGTCTTCTCATGGTTGCTCAAGGGGCAGGGCCCCTCACACCTGGAGATCAGGATAAATGTTCCCTATCTTTCCTGCCCCACACCCAGCAGGCCCTGGGGCACTTGTCCCCAGCTCTGTACACCCGACTTCCCTATGCTAGGCCTGCCTCCTGTACCTTTCCTAACTCTGTCTGTTGCTGGGTGTTGCCCAGCTGAGGGTCGAGTTGCCCACTGGCAACTGGGGGACAGGAAAAGGCCATAGCCATGGACAGGCAAGTCATGGTGAAGCTGGACCCTTCTGGCTTGCGCCCTGCCATGGGGTCACCTTGCCTAGAAACAAAACCGAACCAGAGTATTTTAGAAGTTAAAGGTCTTGAATAAGATAGAAGGCCCAATACCTTCATTTAAAAGGGCCCAGAAAAGGGAAAGTTCTGTGCTTCAAGCCACACAGCAACCCAGGGGCCAGATCTGAGATTAGAACCCAGATCTTCTGACTGCCATCAGGGTGTTCCTTCCAATCCACCCAAGATCCTAGGGCTGGCCCAGGGTCCAGTACTTCAAGGACATCACAAGGTCAAGCTTCTCCCGGCAAGGTGAAGGGAAGGTGTTAGGAAAAGGGTGCTAGGAAAAAGGCAGGAAGGCAATCAGAAGCTCAGGAAAGGGCAGTAGAGCAAGCCCTTAGCCGGAGATAGAGGGAAGTGGTTAAGGTTGCCGTAGTCCCTGGTCATTCGGAGAAAGAACGTGGAGGAGAGGCAAGCGCCCCACCCCTTCCCCTGAAAATTGCTCCTGTCGTTCACTGGGCTGCAGCTGTTCCAGGCTCAGAATCAAGGTCACCCGATAAGGAAAGATAAGGAAAGTGTTAATGGGTCATCACGTGCTGCCAAGGGGATTCCCCTCCAAGCCAGGGGCACCCCGTCCGCCCAGCGAGGTCCCACCTCCCGCTTGCAAGAACCCTAAGTATATGAGCAGGCCCCCACCCCTCGCTGCCTCTCGGGGTCCCTGCCGATGCCGAGAGGCCCTAATCCTCTGCATCAGGAGTCCCTGCGAGGAAAAGGGAGGGGGAACGGCCCTCCAACTCGTCCTGCTTCCTCCACCGCCATGACTCAGCGCTGGGAGCCGTTGCATTGCACAGCAAACCCAGGGAGCTCGCACTACCGAGGGCCGGGGCGCCAAGGCGGGGAGCTTGTGTGCTGGGGGTGGTAGTGGGGAGAAGCTCGGATGGGGTGGGGGTGGGGCTCCGCGACGACGCCCGACCCGCCACTGCCCCCAAGATCCTTCTCCGGGGTCCCTAACCATCGCTTGTGAAAAGGGGCGCTCACCTGGCACAGGAGAGAGCGGGTGTGCGGGGTGCCGCGGCGGAGGGCGGCGGGCTGGCGAGCGGACCAAGAGGGCGAACGCGGCGTTCGTCACCAGCACCCCGTTCTGCGGCGCGTTCCAAGAGGAACACAGCCTATTCAGCTCCGGAGGGGGCGGCACAGGGGGCGGGCAGGAGGGAGGTGGTGCCCGGCCTTTTAAAGGCACCGCTCCAAGCTCCGCCGGGTTTTTTCCTTTGCGGGGAGCGGGGGACGACCAATGGCAGGCGAGGAGCTGCGCAAGAGGCCGCCTCCGGGAGGCAAAGCCAGAGGTGGCGCTTGGGAGAGGGCGGGGCGGCGAGAACATGATCTCTCCCGCCTCCCCTCGGACGTGACTCGGGCCACATCCCGCGGATCGCCAGCGCTCCCCCCCCCTTTCTCGCTTTTTCCCCCGCCTGGCGCGCTCTGGGGCGTCGTGACTCAGCCAGAATGTTGGCACAGGAGGAGATAGGGATTGGGGGTGAGGGGGAAGGAAAGCCGGTGGAACAGTCAGAAAAGATGAAGGCTTGGCTTCCCCTCCCAGGCCCAGCCGGAGCGGCCCGGCGCCGCCCCAGCTTCCGACCTGTGCGGCTGCGGCGCGCGTCACATTGTAACCTAATCGAGAAGTCGGGTGTGTCTGCCTGCCTCACCCGCTGGCTGGGCTGCGCAGGATGCGCACTCCCTGTCACTAGCCCAGGCGTAAGAGAGGCGGAGGAAAGGGCGGCGAGTGGACGCACAGGGAGCACCTGGGCTGCGGGGGCTGGCGGGGCGCGGAGGCGAGGCCTCCCAGCCTCGGAGTTGAGTCCTGGCAGCTGGGCTCTGGGGCCGCGAAGGACACCTTGGCCTGCGCATGCGCACGCGCTTCCGCCCGAGGCCGCGACTGCCGGGCGAATTGTACCCGGCCACCACCGACAACCAAACTACGCGGAAATTGACCTGCCACGGCTCTGCCCAAGCCAAGTCTCTGGGATGGGGGGGGATGGGGTGGAATCTCTGAGAAATGTCTTTCTTGGACCTGACTTCCCCAAAATAAAAATCCTTCCCGGACTTGACCCACCTCCTAGATACTTTCCGGACCCCCACCCCACCCATGCTTCATCCCGACCCCTTCGTCCATTCACTTTTCCCCCACCTCCCCATCCCAGCTCGGTCCTGCTAAGTGGCCCACCTGCAGCAAGACTGGAGGAGCCGGCAGAGCCTGGTCAGCAGCGAGTGAGCCAGGCGTGCCCCGGGCTGGGTTATAAGGCAGCTCCTGCCCTCCCCCCAACCAGTGTCCCCGACCTTCTCCAGTGACCCTTGCCCTTTCCCCGCCACAGATCCCCTAGCGGGGACCTATATTTAGGGAAACCTGAAGCCCCTGACATTCATGCCAGCATAGGGACCGGCATGGGGGAAGGGGGAGGAAGCCTTAGGTCTGCCCTACTGGGGGGAAATGAGGGCCCCCCTGCCCACTCACCAGTACTTCAAAGGAAATTTCTTCCTTGGAAATCCAGGCTGAGGCCCTTGGTTGTCAATACAAATAAATCTTGGCCAGGGATCTGTGGGAGGGAAAGGGGTAAGGGGACTCAGATAGTGTGGCCCTCCCTACCTCCTTCCCACTGGCTCCTCCTCTGGTGCCCCTCCTCCCCTGACTCTGGGCCTTGATGATGGCTGTTGCACCATCTGGAGCCCATTTGTTTCAGAGGGAGGGCAGATACAGGCACTGTACTCACCTCTTAAAATAACCAAGAGTCTGTGGACAGGGATGTGGCTGGGGCCCCTTATATATCCTGATATTTAAGGTCCAAGCTCCTGGGATAATGCTGTCTGGTGAGCAGTGCCTCCCCTCCCCTTAGAGAGAGGAGAGTTTACTTGGAGAGAGGAGAGGGGGCAGGACACCTGCTGGAACACCAGCCCCCTCTCTTCTGGCCCTCCAAAGGAGCTGCAGCCCAGCTGGCCAAGAGTGCAGCCCAGCGAGGGGCCAGGCCCCCCACTGCCAGTTCCAGTTCCCAGGCCTGTGAGCTGGGCAGGCCATTTGTGTGGTTCCAGTAGCCTGGAGAAAAGTGTCCTGAGGCCCCTTAGGAATGAGGGTATGTGGGTCCTGGGGGCTGGCCGCTCCCCAGAGGACAGGGACCCTGGATCCTCATCGGAGCTTGATCTCAAAGCAGAGACAGTTGAGGCTCTGGCAGTCGGGAAGTTGGCAGGCGCAGGCACAGTCGCAGAGTGGGCAGCAGCGAGGGCAGCGAGGTGCCCAACCCTGAGGGAGAAGAAAGAGAGGTGAGGGAGGTGGGACCGGAGCCAGAATCTTTTTCCCTCTATGGGGAGAAGGGAACAGAGAGGCCTGGGAAGTCCCATTTGCCCAGTGGAACAGAGGGAACAAAGCAATTCTCTGTGCAGTTGAAAAATCAGTAATGAGGCAATGTTCTGAACAACGAAGTTCAAGAGCTGGAAGCAATTATGCAGGGGTTCTCTCCTTCCCATTTTATAAGTGAGGAGACTTGAGGACCAGAGAGCAACTGGCCCTGGGTCTCATGCTAGAATCTGGGCTTCCCTATGTCCATTTCGAAGATGGCTCTGGTACATCCTCACGGCCTCATGCAATTGAGAGTCAGTAGACAGAGAAAGCACACACATTTTTCTGTCCATCATGAAAATAACTTTTAATTTTTATGGACTTCTTCCTTGGCATGAGACCAAACTACACGATCTCATTCATAATTTTTGAGTACCTACCTGTGCAAGGCACAGACTGTATTTATGAATGATTAATCTTTGTCATTTTCTTTGAAAATGGCAATTTCCATACTTTTTAAAATTTTAATGTTTTAAAAAGAGTTATATCTCTTTTAATTGTCAGAACTCTGAGTAGTGGGCCTCTGTTCAAAAGAGGAAATGGAGGTGCAGAGGGGGAGTGATTTGCCCAAAGGAATCTGCCCTAGGGAATGGAGCTAGGATGAACCAGGCTCTGCTTGCTTCCAGCCCTGTGCTATCCCTCAAGCCCTCTGCCTCCCAGGGCCAGGAACATCAGCTTCTTTCTGGGTCTGCAAGAACAGGGACTGTTCATCTCACGTTCTCCACTGAGACAGCATTGGGATTCATGCTCAGCAGGTCTCTGAGATATAGATAAATGTTGAATGAATGGATGAATCTAAGCATATCATTTCCCCCTCTTTAGGCAAAGAAGAAAGGAGGGGGCTTCTTGGCTCCTGGGAGAAGCAGAAAGTCTGTCTTTTGGAGAACAGGGACAGCATGTCCTTAGAGACAGGAAGAGAGAACCCGCCCCCTTCCTGGGAACTCACTGCTCCCCTAACTTGGCACAGGGATGACCTGCAGCTGCCTCAGGCATGGACTAGAGTCAGGCCAAGTGGCTGGAGTCGGACACACTCAGGATGGCTGTGTGACACAAGATTGGCTCCCTGAGGCCAGAGGCCAAGGTAGTGACAGTCACAGTTGTACAGCTCAATCAGAAATCAGGCCAAGCCAGGAATAGGGGAATGACCTTTCCAACAGCTGAGGTTTCGGGGTGCTGTGTCAGATGACTGGTGAGATCAGATATCACTAGGGGCTCCAGTGAGGGGAGGGCACCTGCCATCTGCAGGAAGGGGGTCCATATTGGGCTATGCCACTGCCCACAGAACTGCCTCTTAGGGGGAGGCTTGAAGCCTCCCCTAAGGTAGAGGGGGGAGAGAGGTGGTTTTTCTTCTGTTTGATGAGGGTGTGGTTTGGGGCATCTCTAGGGAGTCCAGGTTTGGGGATGAAATTGACTCTGTGGGTTTTTGGAGGACCACACTGTCATTCTGTGCACAGAACTGGTGGCTGAGAGAGGCTCTGCTGCCCTTACCTCAGAGAAGAGGGTATTAAAAGCATTTCTTGGCTCTGTGCACTGGAAGGGTTTAGATCTAGTCATTAATAACTGGCTAATGGATTTCTCGACTCTTACAAGCAGCCATGTGGCTTCTGGAAGGAATCTGCTGTTTAAGTACATTAAACAAGGACTCCACAAGACTGTTAACCCTTGTGTTTCTTTAGGCTCTCGGGAGAGTTTGTACTTTGATTTTTTCCCCCTGACTTTGTGAGGGCCAGCCCTTTGCTGGTGAGAGCTCAGTCCCTTGAGTCAGTAAGGCCCAAGTTTGAATATCAGCTTGGCTAATTCATGTTTTGAGCCTCAGATTCCTCATCTCTGAAGCACATATAATACCTACTTGACAGGGTCATTGCGGGGAATCAGTGGAAAGAACTAAGCACAGTGCCTGATACGCAGTGAGCTGTTCTTTCATCATCACTTAATTTCCCCCTACCAGTGTGTATCAGAATCATGTGAGAACTTGTTAAAAATTTCACAAACTCAGTCCCATCCCAGACCTACTGCGTGTGGGGCCTGGTGCCTGGCTTTCCTTTTACATCCATACTTGCTTCTTGATCACACACAGGGCTGACAGTCAACCACTGTACCATATCACATCAGTTCTCTATTATAACAGCCTATTTCTAGGCCAGGTGTGGTGGCTCACGCCTGTAATCCTAGCACTCTGGGAGGCCGAGGCGGGAGGATTGCTCGAGGTCAGGAGTTCGAAACCAGCCTGAGCAAGAGCGAGACACTGTCTCTACTATAAATAGAAAAAAGTTAATTGGCCAACTAACATATATAGAAAAAATTTGCTGGGCATAGTGGCGCATACCTGCAGTCCCAGCTACTCGGGAGGTTGAGGCAGGAGGATTGCTTGAGCCCAGGAGTTTGAGTTTGCTGTGAGCTAGGCTGATGCCACAGCACTCACTCTAGCCTGGGCAACAGAGTGAGACTCTGCCTCAAAAAATAAATAAATAAATAAATAAATAAATAATAATAAATAATAAAAACAGCCTATTTCTTTCTTTCTGTCCATCACCAGAATGGAAGCCCCCTAAGGCCTGGGACCTTGTCTATCTGGTTTCTACTGAGCCTCCAGGACCCAGTATAGTGCCTTAACAGTGACTCCGTAAATCTTTGGTGAGTGAACGAATGAATGAATGAATTAGATCCTTGCAACATGCCTGTGAAAGAAGCAGGGAAGGCAAGGTTTCTTCCTCAGAAAAGAGAAGAAACCTGGGTTTGTGTTCTGGCTGATTCAGCCATATAACCTCAGGCAGGTCACTCAAGCTTGTTTAAGCCTCAGTGTCTACAATTGTAAAATGGGCACGAGCTTTGTAACCTTCGTGGCTCTTATTGTTGTCACAAGGAAACTGAAGAACAGAGAGACTTAAATGTACTTTGTGGAAAGACAGCTCAAGGACAGAATGAGCCTGCCCCACCCTCCGCCATTCTAAATCCCTTCCTGGCTCCAGTAGAAACTGGATAGGATCAGGCCCCAAGTCTCCAGATTTAGGAGTTCCTGCAACCCTGGAGGGGTAGGTGGGAGAACCCTGTCCCTCTGTAGTACACCTCTCTCCCAAGGAAGAGAAGATGGGTCCTTGACTGTTCACTTTGAGTGGACAGAGGGGACAGGGGGCTGTATCCCCAGGATAGGGGGCCAAAAAGCACTTTGTAATTGAACACCTCCTATAAGATGGGAGTTTTTAGAACCCTCCATTTTCCCCTTTCTCCCTCGGCCCCAACCCTGGGACCCCTCCCCTGGCTACCCCTGGGAAAACAGAAAGAAGAGAGCTCCTTGCCCCACAATTTATTTCAAAATTGAAAACATCTTCCAGGGATTTGTATCAATCACAGTCAGCCCAGTTTTATGAATTTGCTGGGCTTGGTCTTTTATCCTTGCCTTCCCTCCTAGGGAAGGTCAACACGCCAAGGGCAGGAATTTTGCTGTCTAAATCTCTGAGCCCAAAATAATCATTGCATAAGAAGGTGGTCGATTACATCTAACATCTTTAAACCCACAAATGCAAAAATGGCCTGTCTTCTGTGAGCCAGGCTTCTCCCCTGAGGATTCTGTTTCAACTAACACTATGGAGCAATTTGCTATGTGAGGCTCTCCTATGTAACACTGGAGTAGTGACCAAACTTCCCTAAGCAGTTTACTCCCCTGCAAAAGGAGGATACTAATATTTACCTATCTACATGGACATGGACAAGTGGCCAACATTTGATGTCAAGTTAAAAAGGCAAGTAGCAGTTGTGATGAAATAGTCAACATGGTATAATTCCGTCTTTGCCAAATAATATTAAAATACAGCAATGATAGTACTTGTATAGTGGTACATGAGGGATATAGACAAAACGTAGCAACTTTGGGTTAGAGAACTGATTCATAAACTGATTTGATCTATTTTTTTTAAAGACTAGTCAAGTGGGGGGGGAGAAGTAGTAGAACAAGGAGTTCAATCTGTAACTGACTGTGAACAATCAAGTGAGATAACTCACTACCTTCGGATCACCCTTTTTTTTTTTTTTTTTTTTTTGAGACAGGGACTCACTATGTCACCCAGGCTGAATTCGAAGTCTTGGGCTCAAGTGATCCTCCTGACCCAGCCTCCTGAGTAGCGGGAACTACAAGCACACGCCACTGCACCCTTTCTGTGTGTTTCTGTATGCGTACTTTGTAAATAATACTTTTGTAATCAGAAAAAAATATATAGGTTTTTAAAAATACCCAGGTCTGTAGGATGGTAAGGAAGAAAAAAAATAGCCAGTTCTCAGGTTTGTTGAGAAAAATAATGTCAGAATAAAGTGGCACTGTATCTGGAACATAGTATTCACTCAATGAGCAGTAGGAACTCTGTGAACTGTTTTTGCTTTTAGCTACCATTTTCAGAAGTGCTGAGTATGTGCCATATGTGTTATTCACATCACCTTTCTCAGGCTGGCACCCTATTTTCTTTTCTTCAAGTAGCTTTCATCACCAGCTTTTATCTGATATGTTGTTTTTGCTGGTTTCCACATAATTCAGTATCCTGAATCCTACCTGGCTTAGAGTAGGTGCTCAATAATAAATGTTGAACATCAAAAAAAGAATGCACAGATCCTACCTAGATCAGGGCTCAGTGGGGCAGAAGGTAGGAATAGAACTCACAGCTTCGGTGGGCTGGGGGCAGCAAGCATCCAGGCAGCGGGCTGGGCTAGGCAGAGGGAAGTCACAGGCTTCTGCACAGGTCCAGCAACAGTCTTGAGGCCGGAAGGCACCTTGTTTCCTACAGGGGGAGCTGCAGTCTGTGCAGCAGCCCTGGACCTAGGCGATGACAGGGCTTACTCAGGATCTGGGCCAGGCAGCAGATAATGACAGCCAAGATTTGGCTTTCTCAAAGGGACAGGAAAAGGTTCGGCTGGGGACAGGAGAGGAGGGACCTCTTGGTTCCACAAAATGGATAGATGCGGGGACTAAATGGCAAAGGAGCCTCAAGGTAAGAGCCTGCAGATGAAGGGTCAGGTTAACTGGGTTCCTCTTCCCCAGAGCCCACCCTTCATCCCCACCAGGCCCCTCACCCGCAGGCAGTGCCTAGCCAGCAGCACTAGGGCCAGCAGCAACAAATAGATGCCCACAGCGATGAAGACGATGGCAGGGATGGGGAGCAGCAGGTGAGGGCTGCTGACGAGAGCCGGGGTTGGATTCCATGGGCTAGAGGAGGCCTGGACAAGCACAGGAGGAAGGGATGACAAGGAGTGGAGGGGCTGCAGGAACACAGGAATACCAGGAGGGACACAGAGATGGCTGGGGGAGGAAAAAACCCCAGACAATGGGGAGTCAATAGGACTATTCCCTGACTCAACTATCTTATTACCCCAGACCTGCCTTTTTTCCTATCATCCCCATTTCAGCACCATCAAGTACTTGTATTTTGTTTTTTGAGACAGAGTCTTACTTTGTTGCCCAGGCTAGAGTGAGTGCTGTGGTGTCAGCCTGGCTCACAGCAACCTCAAACTCCTGGGCTCAAGCGATCCTTCTGCCTCAGCCTCCCCAGTAGCTGGGACTACAGGCATGCACCACCATGCCAGGCTAATTTTTTCTATATATATTAGTTGGCCAATTAATTTCTTTCTATTTATAGTAGAGATGGGGTCTCGCTCTTGCTCAGGTTGGTTTCGAATTCCTGAGCTCAAACAATCTGCCCACCTCAGCCTCCCAGAGTGCTAGGATTACAGGTGTGAGCCACCGTGCCTGGCCAAGTACGTGTTGATCATTCTAGAATCTTCTTAGACTAACTGCTCTTCCTTTCAGAATGTCTCTCCAAACAGACCTCTTGTCTCTGATCCCACTACCACTACTTTGGCATCCCACATTACTGGCCCAACTATCTTCCAACCTGCACTTTTGCCCCATTCCACCCCAGCTGTCCTTGTGTAGCCCCAGCCCTCCCTTCATTACAGTTCATCGATGGCTCCGCTCAGAATAACTCAGTGAAAACTTTCTTAGTGACAAAGTCCCCAATCTTGCCCTGCCTACCTCTCCCTCCCGCCTCTCCACTCCTGCCTCACTAAAGTCCTAGCAGTTCCCCCAAATGACCCATCCTCTCTCTCACACCCAGCCCCTATGCTTTCCCTCTGCCTGAAATGCCTTTTCTCCTTGATTACTTGGTAAACTCCTCTTTATCTTGCCAGGAATACCAGACATGTGCCCTGCCATGGGAAGTCCCTCCTTGGCACTCTCTTTCTCACAGCTTTTGTCCTGAGCTGGAAGGATCTGTGCTGGGTAAAAAGCCCCCTCCCCGGTCTGGGCGGGAAGGCAGGCAAAACCAGGGTGAGGATAGGGAGCAGAAGGGGCCGCGGCAGACTCACGTCCATGGGGCAGGGCTGCGCCAGTCAGTACGGGAGCTGCAGGGGAGAGAAGGTCCTGGGCCTCAGAGGCTGAGAGGGGCTGTTAGACCCAGGTGCCCACTCTCCTCCTCCTCCCGTGTCCAGTTTGGGGAAAACTGAGGCCCAGCGATGGTCTCAGTTTCTCTCTGGTTCGAACAGTTTGAGTTGGCGGTCTGGGGATTCGAAGGCGGCGCCCTCCTCGCAGACCCCAGCCAGGCCCAGGCCACACTCCTCCGCTGTCCCCACACCCCAGCTCCCTCCATCGACCCATCCCCATCACCTGCACCCTCGTGGCCGCGGGCAATTCACGGATTCCGCGCCGCGCTGGCTCCAATCGGCCGTGAAGCCAGCTCCGCCCAAAAGCCTTTGGCTGCTTCTTACTGTTGCCATGGGGATCAAACGTTGTTTTTACGGCGGCCGCCGAGGCCCAAACTCCTTCTTCCCGCCCCGCTTCTTCCGCCCGATGTCCTGCGAGTCCTTCTAAACCGTGGTCCTCGGGGCTTTCCCGCGGAGGCTAAAATGGAAAGAGCGAGTTCCCGCCACCACCGGCCTGGGGCGGATCCTCATCAGATGCTGGAAGTTGGAGGAGGCACTAGGGCCTGGGACGCTGCAAAGGGACGACTGGACCCTAAACCCCTGGTATACACCGCCAACTTGCTGTGTGACTTAGCCAAGTCATTGAGCGTCACTGAGTCCATTTCCTTATCCGCAAAAGGGGGAAACTCCTGCCTCTCAGGCATATTGTAAAAATCAAAGCTACTTGTTAATTGTATAGAATTATCAATATTTTTTCATTCTGACCCCACTTCTCCATTTTTGCAGTCTTCACATCACCATCAAAGTAATTTCCTACCACCCACATCAGATCTTGCTCCTTTTCTACTTTAAAACCTCCAAAGGCTTTCCATTGACTCCAGGATAAAGCCCAAAGGCAGCAGCAGCAGGATGTCGTCACCGTCCACTAGGCCCTGCCTATCTTCTCTTTGTTCATTCACAACATATCCAGCTACTGTAGGCTCTGCAGCTCTAGCAGAGACTGAGGCAGATTTCCTGCCCTCATATTGCTAACATTCTACTGGAGGAGGGGGATCAGATAATAAATACATAAACAAATAAGATTTTGTACTTCCTCAGGTTTTTCAAGGTCCCCACATGGGATCTGTTGAAGCTTCCTGAATCAGTGCATAGGGCTTCATAGGTCCACAACTTAGCAGATGCTATTCCATCTGCCTGGAACACCCTTCCCCTGACAAACTTCCTCATACCTCAAGCATGTGCTCAGTTTCATTCCTCTTGGTGAGGTGTTCCTGTCAACCTCAGGCGGGCGTGGCTGCTTTGGGCTCTGAGTTCCTATAGCGCCATATAGACATTGTTGTTCTAGCACTTAGCACAAGGAACTTGAATTCCCCACTTCAGTACCCACTTGGCAATTAGACCGGAAGTGCCGGGACCTGGTGTGACTCATCGCCACATCCTAAGTTCTAGCACTTGGCCTAACCTTGGGGATTACGGCGAATACTCACTGATCCTATGAATAATAGATTCCAATTTCCATAGAAGTGTTGTTGTCATCCAGATGTCCTAGTTCCCTCGGTTTTCAAGGCACTCAGACCTCCCCCTTTCATTCCTAACCTTTTTGCTTCTTTATACACACGTTTGCACACCTGCACAATCACACCTCCCCATGGACATCTTGTACTTCCTACATGACTGCTGCATCCTGGCATTTTCCCCTGAAAGCAGTACCACTAAATATCTATTTTTGCCCATGTCCTCCACTCTAATGTACTTCATCACAGCTGCTGCCCCTGAGGATTTCCTACACAGTCTATGTCCTGGGGTCCCGAATCTCCCCTCCCACCTTCAACCACACTGAGAAGGTCCCAGCCACCCCTTTTGCCACCACTAGCCCTCTCACAGAGGGTTCCAGGCCCAGAAAACAGGAATCTAACTGTTCCCAATGTCACCTTTGTTGATTTTGAGGCAGGGTCAGATTGCCTTCTTGGGCTATCTTTTTTTTTTTGATACAGAGTCTCACTCTGTCACCCGGGCTAGAGTACCGTGGCGTCACCTTAGTTCACAGCAACCTCAAACTCCTGGGCTCAAGCAATCCTTCTGCCTCAGCCTTCCCAGTAGCTGGGACTACAGGCATGCGCCACCATGCCCGGCTAATTTTTTCTATATATTTTTAGTTGGCCAATTAATTTCTTTCTATTTTTAGTAGAGACGGGGTCTCACTCTTGCTCAGGCTGGTTTCGAACTCCTGATCTTGAGCGCTCCACCCGCCTCGGCCTCCCAGAGTGCTAGGATTACAGGCGAGAACCACCGCACCGGCCTTGGGCTGTCTTATTGTCTGACAGAATCTCGAGGACCAAAATGAGATCAGTTCCCAATTCCACCCCAGAAAAGGCCTCTGGTGACACACACTCTCTTCAACTTCTGCCAACAGAGAGATGTCAGCTTTGGCAAGGCCTCTGGATCCGTCCATGGCCTGCAGTGGTCAGGCTCACTGCTGATGGTGTTCTGTTCCTACCATGGGCCCATACATTATGCAGGAGGGTAGACAGTGCCTCAGCCTGCTGGTTGCCAGGCTAGCCAAGAGGAGGGGTGATGTATGCACCCCACTTTGCCAAGGCCCCACTTCTACCCACAACACACCATTTGTTGGAGCCAGGGAGAAACTGACTTCACAGTAGCCAGATAACCATAAGATCTCCCTCTACCTGAAGTTTGAGGCTGAAGATATCAGACAGTATCACCTGTATTTAATACTTTTGCCCTGCCCCTGGGAAAAGGATAAAAGGATTATTTCCTCCCAATCATCGCTGGGTGGGTGGAAGATTGGAGATGTAGAGAAGGCCCAGAAGATGAAAGAAGCCTCAGCAGGCTTGGGCTGGGGTGTGGGATGGGAACCTGGCAGTTCTGATTTTGATCTCACACTTTCAGCCCCCTCCTATGGACATCAGACAACATCAGCTCCCAGAGATTAAGAAGAGGTTCACAGGCTCTTTATTATGAAAATGAAAGGCCAATTACCCTGGGAGGAGAAAGAGCTAAGCTGAGCTAGAGCTAGTATCAGTAGAGGCCTCTATGTAGACCTTATTTTATTTAATCCACACAGTAGACCTGGGTAGCAGAAGCCATTATTTCCATTTCATGGAAATAATTATGGCCTAGTTAGAAAACAAAAACAAAAACCCAACACTTTAGAAGTAGGCAAGATCTGGGTTCGAATTCTAGTTCTGCCATTCTGCGTTTGCATGACCGTGGGCAAGTCAATTGACCTCACTGAATCTCAGTCTTCCTCATCTGAAAGTGAGAATTATCATACCAGAATGGCAAGGCTTGCAGTGATGACTAGAGAAAATGTATATAAAGCACCGAGCATAGAACAACAGCAAATTAAAAAATATAACAACAACTATTCTTTTTTTTGGTTTTTTTTTTTTTTTTTTTGAGACAGAGTCTCACTCTGTTGCCCGGGCTAGAGTGCCATGGTGTCAGCCTAGCTCACAGTAACCTCAAACTCCTGGGCTCAAGTGATCCTCCTACCTCAGCCTCCCCTGTAGCTGGGACTACAGGCATGTACCACCACCCCAGGCTAATTTTTTTCTACTTTTAGTTATCTGGCTAATTTCTTTCTATTTTTAATAGAGATGGGGGTCTCGCTCTTGCTGAGGCTGGTCTCGAACTCTTGACCTCAAGTGATCCTCCCACCTCATCCTCCCAGAATGGTAGGATTACAGGCATGAGCCACCATACCTGGCCCAACAACAGCTATTAATGCACATCACAGTGAATGTTTATAGAGGAACTGTGCTTTACACATGTCTCATTGAATCACTCCAGCAGCTTCACGTAGAGGTACTGCTATTGTCCCCATTTTATAGATAAGAAGCCTGAGGCACAAAGGAGTTAAATCACTTGCACAAGGACTCCTGGCTAGCGAGTGGCAGAACCAGGATTTAGGTCCAGTCAGTGAGACTTTGTATTTATACACCAAAGGCTCAGAGAGGTTCTGAAATGTGGCCAAGATCACACAGCCAGCCTATGAGAGGAGAAAGGGCCTTGGACCCTTGGCTGTCTGACTCCAGCTCACCTGTTGTGCCCCTCAGCATTTTCTGCTGAACAGACAAAGGATGAGACTGGAATTGCTTGGGACAGTACCTAAGCTGGGACAGGTACAAGTAAAAGTACTAAATAATAAATGCTCTGGCACCCTGGCCAGGACTGTCCCCAGAGCACGGGTGGGGGGAATTGGACCCTTCCCGGGGTATCACGTAAGAAACAGGCCACTTCTGGCCGCTTATTGTTTACTTATTCACAGCTTTTGATGATATCACACCCGCACACCTCTACAGGGCTGAGGAGCCTCCGCACCCAGGTAAGGAGGATGATCAAAACAGCATCTGGGTGGAGGAGCCCGAAGGAACGGGGCGCGCTAAACTCTAGGCCCAGAGTAAACTCGGTGTCAGCTCTGTGAGGGCTACAAGGGGGTGGGAGACCAGAGGGGGAGGGCTGGGGTGAGGGAGGGAAGGTGGTGGCCGAGGTCCTGTGAGCCCAGATGGGCCCCCCGTGGCGCCGCCCTGCATTGCCCTCTCATGCGGGGCTGCAGGGCACTCTCTGGCTGTGCACCCAGGCCGGGACTAGGCGGTGGCATCTCCCTTCCTCTGCGGGGATGTCCAGACGCTCCTAGACCGCCCAGGCAAGGGTTCAGAGTGTGTGGAGTGCTTCCTGTCTTGGGTTTGTTCTAGGTGATACACCAGTTCTGCAAGAAAACGAACATCCCCCAATGCTATTCTCTTTCCAATTCCCTTTCAACACTTCTGATTACTCCAGGAGAATCATTTTGCTGCCAGAAATCCTTTAACACCTTTCTGTTTGTGCTTATCTTTTCTAATCTTTCTTTGTTTCTTTTTTTTTTTTTTGAGACAGAGTCTCACTTTGTTGCCCAGGCTAGAGTGAGTGCCATGGCGTCAGCCTGGCTCACAGCAACCTCAAACTCCGGGGCTCAGCGATCCTACTGCCTCAGCCTCCCGAGTAGCTGGGACTACAGGCATGCGCCACCAGGCCCGGCTAATTTTTTGTATATATATTTTTAGTTGGTCAATTAATTTATTTCTATTTTTGGTAGAGACGGGGTCTCGCTCAGGCTGGTTTCGAACTCCTGACCTTGAGCAATCCGCCCGCCTCGGCCTCCCAAAGTGCTAGGATTACAGGCGTGAGCCACCACGCCCGGCCTGTTTCTTTTTTGAAGGAAGAGAGAGCAGGCCTCCAGCTCAGAATAGGAGGAATAGCCTCCTATTATAGCAGGGGGTAGTAACTAGCTAGAATGTTATGTGTTTTCATTTTATATATTTTTGTTACCTTCTATTTACAAGTGATACTGGTTTTCTATTTTCTGTAGTGATAAAAAGTTTCCTTTTATTTAAAAAAAATTTTTTGAGACAATCTTGCTCTGTTGCCCTGGCTAGTATGCACTGGCATCATCATAGCTCACTGCATCCTCAAACTCCTGAGCTCAAGAGATCCTCCTGCCTCAGCCTCTCAAGTAGCTGGCACTACAGGCACTCACCAGGATGCCCATGGCTACAGGCACTCACCATTATGCCCTGGCTAATTTTTCTGTTTTTTGTAGAGACAGGGGTCTCCCTCTTGCTCAGCCTGATCTTGAACTCCTGGCCTCAAGCAATCCTCCTGCCTCAGCCTTCCAGAGTGCTAGGATTACAGGTGTGAGCCACTATACCTGGTCAAGTTTCCTTTTAAAGTGCATGGTTAAAATCAGGTACCCTGGGAATCAGACTACTAGGTTCAAATCCCAGCTGTGCCACTTACTACCTGTGTGACCTTGGGCTAGTCACACAACCTCTCTGTTCCTCAAGTCCCTCATCTGCACTGGGAAAGTAATAACAGTATTTCTCTCTTAGGTTAGAGGAGTACATTAGCTAATATACATTAGCTAATATAAGTAAAGAGCTTATAGTGGTGCCTAACATTTAGCAAATACTCCATAAATGTTTGCTCTTATTACGTCAAATAGGGCAAAAACACCTGTAACTGAGGTTTGAGGACCACTTCTATGAACCACTTCCACCGTTTTCCACATGGGGAAA